GTGCAATGCACAGGATGGTGAGGGGGACCTGCTGTACCCTCGATCAGGGACAGAGTAGTGAGAAAGATGTCAAGAAAAGCTTCCTGAGAAAGCTGGCCTTTGAGGTGAGTCTTAAAAGATGAATAGGTGGTAGAGGTTACGTATTAAGAGCACTGGGCTTGATGCTCAGGCTACAACAGGTAATTCAAGAAAAGTCTCTGCACAGAGTTTAGTAGTGAAAAAATATCTTAAAACTATTTACAAAACAATGTAATTAAATTTTACAAGACAGACATGTTCTCCGTGGGGAAGAGCAATACAGCACAGGAAGGGCTGTACAAAGAATCAAATGTCTGAGCTGAATCATGAAGGTTAAATAGGTTTTCAATCTGTAGGAAAAGCAGGGAGAAGGGAATACCACACTGGGGAATTATATAATGTGAGCATTGGGAAAAAGGTACAACAGTGTGGCACAAAAGAGCTCAGCATGATTGGGGAGGGAGGGAGACCAAGTGGGAACAACAGGAAGAAACCGTGTTATGAAGGAAGCAGGAAGACCCGAGTGTTATGGTTACTAAGCCTTTGTATTTCTTTTTCTCTGAAAAAATTTGTTTTTAATTTGTGTTAAAACTTTTTCATCTGTAACAAATAGTTTTTATATATATAGCAATTCTTGTTTTATTTATGCTTATCTTAACATGAGTTTTAAAACTTACATAGTCAAATTCATTGTTTTTTTTTGTTGTTGTTTTGTTTTTTACTTTTGCAACTGATACCACTGTTTTAATGTTGGGGAAATTCAGTTGGAAGGTTACTGCAATAATATTATGCTGCTGTTAAGTGCTGCCAAGTTGTCTGAGACTCATAGCGACCCTATGTACAGCAGAATGAAACACTTCCTGGTCCTGCACCAGCCCCACTCTCTTTGCTATACCTGAGCCCATCCTTGCAGCCATTGTGTCAATCCATCTTGTCCAGTGCTTCCCCCTTTTTCGTTGACCTTCCACTTTACTAAGCACGATATCCTTCTCCAGGAAACAGTCCCTCCTGACAACATGACCAAAGTAGGTTAAACGAAGTCTGGCCATTCTCACCTCCAAGGAGCATTCTAGCTGCACTTCTTCCAGGACAGATTTGTTAGTTCTTTTAGCAGTTCATGATACAGCAGATATGCCCAGTGCTGTATGTCATGTGATGTCTTGACTGCTGCTTCCACTGGTGTTGATTGTGGAACCAAGTAATATGAAATAGTTAACAACTTCAATTGTTTCTCCATTTATCATGAGGCTGCTTATTGGTCCAGTTATAAGGATTTTCATTTTCTTTATGTTGAGATGTAACCCAGGCTGCAGACTAAAGTCTTTAATCTTCATCAGTAAATGCTTCAAGTAATCCTCACTTTCAGCAAGCAAAGTTGTGTCTGCATATCACAGGTTTTCCTCCAATCCTGATGCCACAGCCCACATATGATATATGTATGTATGATGCCATACACTCCAGCCTCTTGGATTATTTATTCAGCATACAGATTGAATAAGTATGGTGAAAGGATATAACGCTGATGCACTCCCTTCCTGATTTTAAACCATGCCTGATTTTAAACCAGGCAGTATCCCCTAGTGCATTCAAACACAGCCTCCTGATCTATGTAAAGGTTCCTCATGAGTACAATTAAGTGTTCTGGAATTTCCATTCTTTTCAATGCTACCCATAATTTGTTATGATCCACACAATCGAATGTTTTTGCATAGTGAATAAAACACAAGTAAACATCTTTCTGGTATTCTTTGCTTTCAGTCAAGATCCATCTGAAATCAGCAATGATATCCCTCGTTCCGCATTCTCTTCTGAATCCAGCTTACATTCTTGGAAGTTTTCTGTCAATATACTGCTGCAAGCATTTTTGAATTATCTTCAGTAAGATTTTACTTGTGTGCGATATTAATTATATTGTCCGGTAATTTCCACATTCTGTGGGATCACCTTTCTTTGGATTGGTACAAATACGTATTTCTTCCAGTCAGTTGGCCAGGTAGCTCTCTTCCAAATTTCATGGCATAGGTGAGTGAGTGCCTCCAGTGGGGCATCCATTTGTTGAAACATCTCAATGGGTATTCTGTCAATTCCTGTAGCCTTGTTTTTCATCAATTCCTTCAGTGCAGCTTCAACTTCTTCCTTTAGTACCACTGGTTCTTGATCATATGACACCTCCTGAAATGGATGAACACTGACCAATTCTTTTTGGTACAGTGACTCTGTGTATTCTTCCCATCTTCTTTTGATGCTTCCTGTATCATTCAGTATTTTATCCATAGAATCTTTCAATATTACAACTCAAGGCTTAAATTTTTTCTTCATTTATTTCAGCTTGAGAAATGCCAAGTGTATTCTTCTCTTTTGGTTTTCTGACTCCAGGTCTTTGTACATTTCATTATAATAATTGACTTTATCTTCTCAAGCTGCTCTTTGAAATCTCTGTTCAGCTCTTTTATCTTGTCATTTCTTCCATGTGCTTTAGCTACTCTCCGTTCAAGGGCAAATTTCAGAGTCTCTTCTGACATCCATTTTGGTCTTTTCTTCCTTTCTTGTCTTTTTAATGACCCTTGCTTTTTTCATGGATGATGTTTTTGATGTCATCCCACAAATCCTCTGGTTGTTGGTCATTGGTTTTCAATGCATCACATCTATTCTTAAATGGTCTCTAAATTCAGGAGGGATATAATCAAGGTCATATTTTGGCTCTCACAGACTTGTTTTAATCTTCAACCCAACTTACATATGAGCAGTTGATGGTCTATTCCACAATCAGCTCCTGGCCTGGTTTTGGCTGAAGATATTGAGCTTCTCCACCACCACCTGCCACAGATGTAGTCAATCTGATTCCTGTGTACTCCATCTGGAGAAGTCCATGTATATAGCTGCTGTTTGTGTTACTGAAAAAAGGTATTTGCAATGAGTAAGTCATTGGTCCTGCAAAATTCTATCACGCGATCTCCAGCATTATTTCTATCATCACGGCCATATTTTCCAACTAGTGGTGATTCTTCTTTGTTTCCAACTTTTGTGTTCCAATCACCAGGAATAATCAACACATCTTGATTGCATGTTCAGTCAATTTCATACTGCAGAAGTTGGTAAAAATCTTCAGTTTCCTCATCTTTGGCTTTGGTGATTGGTGCATACATTTGAATAGTAGTAGTATTAATAGTAGGTGTATGGTTATTATCCTATCACTGACAGCATTGTACTTCAGGATAGATCTTGAAACATTCTTTGTGATGATGAATGCCACACCATTCTTCTTCAATTTGTCATTCCTGGCATAGTAGCTCATATGGTTGTCTGACTCAAATGGCCAAAAGCAGTCCATTTCAGCTCACTAACGCCTATAATATTGATGTTAATGCATTCCATTTCATTTTTGACAACTTCCAATTTTTCTAGATTCATACTTCATACATTCCACATTCCAATTACTAATGGATGTTTACAGCTGTTTCTTTTCATTTTGAGTTGTGCCAATCAGCAAATGGTGGTCCTGAAAGCTTTACCTATCCACATCCTTAAGGTAGGCTCTACTCTGAGGAGGCAGCTCTTTCCCAGTGGTATTCTGAGTGCTTTCCGACTTGAGGGGTTCATCTTCTGCCACTATATTGGACTGTTTCAGGGCAATTCATTAAGTTTTCTAGTAATATATCAGACAGTGTTTCACTGCTATTCATAAGTTTTTATTGGCCAATTTTTTGAGAAGTGGATGGCCTCTTTCTTCTTTCGAGTCTTATTTTAAATTATTATTTTATACATTTATTATTAAGTTTTATATTATTTTATAATAATATTAGATAAGACCTAAAATAAGATAAAATGTGGGACAGAAGAACTGGTAGATTCAAGATAATTAGGAGATGGGATTAATAGTATTATTAACAATATTTATATTATTAATAAATAAGTGAGACTAGGAGAGAAAGTGATTATCAGCAACAGATGCCCCTGAGGATGACTTCTCGGTGAAGGAGCCTGAGAGGAGTCGGCTGAGGGTATAGGAGGAACCCTAGCAAACTGGCTTCAAGGAAGCCAAGGCACTACAAGGCTTCCCCAGAACATCCCACATTTGTGCTCTCAAGATAAACAAGTTATTATCATTCCTAGTTTCTGTGGAGATATAAAATCTCGTGTTTTCTCTTGCTTAAGTCCATTAGAAAGTAACTTAAAACGTCAGGAATTATAATGAATTTTAACATATCTATGACTTTGATGGGTACGTGAAAATGCCAACTATCAAACTGAATTCCATCTGAACCTACAGGATTCAAATTATCAATTTGTTTTTCCCTCCAACTAAACTCCTAAGTTCTTTCTTTTTACTCTAAGTTTCATGGCCAACAAAGAAAACTAATCTAATAAATCAAGTTTAAAGAACATCTTTTAGTTGTTTCAACTTTTCTTATTTTTGGCTATTAAGTGCTGGCGAAGAATGCTGAAAGTACCATGGACTGCTAAAAGAACTAACAGATCTGTCCTGGAGGAAGTGCAGCCAGAATGCTCCTTGGAAGCAAGAATGGCCAGACTTCGTCTCACCTATTTTGGTCATGTTGTAAGAAGGGACCATTCCCTGGAGAAGGATGTCATGCTTGGTAGGGTGGAGGGTCGACGAAAGAGGGGGAGGCCTTCAACGAGATGGATTGATACAGTGGCTGCGATGATGGGCTCGAGTATAGCAGGGATTGTGGGGCTGGTGCGGGATCGGGCAGTGTTTCGTTCTGCTGTGCATGGGGTCGCTATGAGTCGGAAACGACTCGACGGCACTTAACAACAACAACAACAAAGTGATGATAATGACTCGATGGCAAATAACAACAACAATGGTTTGACCTTGGCGTACATTTTTGGAGATATTACAAAAGTGATGAGGGGAAGAAAAAAAACAGGAATAAAATACAGGTACCTAATCTTATTAACCTATATGTAAAAACAAAGTAATTTAAATTTACTCTGGCTGCTGAAAACAGATTACTCACCTGCGACCACATTCTGAATATTTACCAATATTTTTTAATATTAAGGCAGCTGTTAGTCGGATGTGTTTAGTTATTGGTCCCTCTTTTTCATCCTTAAAAAGAGAAGAAAATAAAAGAAAGATAATAAAAATCTAAATCATATTGTGCTCGCACCTTTATAAATAAGGCTTTCAAGGCTTGCTTACTGTAAAATCTCGAAAGACAAGGTTTCTGGATCCTCTCCTGAGGGCCATGAGCGCAGCGCTGGGATGACTCACAATGGCCTTTTGTGCTCTAGGAGCGGAGCTGGACGTCCCTGCAGCTGGCTGCCTGAATTGAGCACAGAGATGAAGAGACTGTTAAAATGATGCTGCAGACAGACTGACAAAGACGACCACCCCACCAAACCCATGCTGGGTATAGACTGAATAAAAGCCCCCACAGTTCAGCATTAATGCTTATGCTTTGTGTCAGCCTAGGCAAACGGCTCTCACTGTCTAGCTTAAGTTTCATGTCTTTTATTTTCCAATGTACAAGTTTTGAAGCAAACAACAGATGCTCCAGTGTGGTCCATCTTCAAAATTACCGTCCTGGGGCAAGTAAGCAATCAACATAGTGAAAAAATTGTGAAGTTTTCATCTCTGAATGTAAGGTGAAGATGTTAACAAAAAAGAAAGTAATTATTATTATTTATGAAAAGTAACTAAGGGTAAAATAATGGTACCTAAGAATGTATTGGTACAGATCATTCTGGAGAAGATAACCAAATATGATAATAATAGGAAATTATTTTGTTACATAGTCTTAGTTTTCATCACAATTTAATTTCAATCAATCCTTCCAATAGAGTTTTACAATTGTATAGAAAGATGTAGAATCTTTCTACATCTATCTAGGAACTGCAGAGATGAGTTTTATATAAAGTCAGATTTAAACACACTCTACTCCATCTGACACTATAGTTAACTGTGTGACTTTCAGAATTTCACTTTCCTTGGTTTTAGGGTAAAATCCAAACTGATTACTATGGCTTATGAGAACTACTGCTAATTCTTTATTCTTTGGGTCTCAGCTTGGGTATGCCTTCTACTGATTAGATGGGCTCTCACAAGGCCTTGTGCGTATCATTTTAGTACTTATTACAGAGACTTAAGAACAACAGTGGGAGGCCTGGTGGTGTAGTGGTTAAGTGCTTGCCTGCTATCCAGAAGATCAGTAATTCCTACCAGCTGCTCCAAGGGATAAAGTGGTGATAGTCTGCGTGCATAACAATTCACCCAGCCTTTGAAATCCTATGGGGCACTTCCACCCTCTCCTAGAGGGTTATTCTGAGTTGGAATTAACTCCATGGTGATGGGTTTGATTTTTGGTTTAAAAATGGCAAAATAGATGTTGGTCACCATTATACCTCAGTGCCCAGCACAATGTAGATAACCCACTAAAGAGTAACGGAACAAATAAAGTATATAAGCAGCTTCTATGTTTCCAAACTTCTAGTTCTCCTTTTAGAATTTCACTCTGTGAGGTTACAGACTGTATCATGGAACATTTCCCAGTACATAGCAGGCGCTTAATTAATGGCAGAAAACGAATTTATTTCCATATTTTAAAAGTAAAAAATATTTAGGTTCAGTGAATCTACAACCAAAGCTTCAGTTAAAATAGGAGATGCTATGTAAATCTAATAAGGGCCTACAGGAATCCTCAACCAACTCAGAACTCACAACATGTATTACAAAATTATGTGTTCAGGAAAAGATAAGTGAATGATACCATATAGTTAAATGTGACATTTATGCTCTTATATAGGTCCCTCACTTACCCCTCAGAGGAGTAGTTATAAGAACAAATCTCTCTGTCCTTATCAAATACATATTCAATTAATCTCTCAAAGGACAAAGAATCACATGTAATACTTTCAGTTTATAAAGCATTTCACATATATCATCAGTCATTATTTCCAATGACTTGTCAACAAAGCATAACCATAAAATGTTAGAGCTATAAGACATCTTATAGACCTAGCCAATACGAAAAATGATGATTAGAGAATTGAAGCAATTTGTATAGGGGTAACAGACATTTAAGTGGTAAAGCTGGACTAGAACCCTGGTCTCCTGTCTCCCAATATACTAAGTTCCTGTATTTTGCCTAGTTTCTTGATTTTTATTTTTATGTATACAACAGGAAGTAAACTCATTTTCCTTACTTGGTGGAAGATTTTTGACTTCCTGCTTGTCCTGGTTCATCCTGTTTTAATCCTGCAAGCAGGGCATCCTTTGAACAGTGCTTATCCTTTTTGAGAAAGAGGAAGAAAAGAATACTCATCAAAATCTTTAATCTAAGCACAGGAGTTACTGAAAAAATATTAAGAATAATAAAACACTGTACCTGTAAATGGGTAATAAAAGAAAACCTTTGTCGCTGAAAAGGCTCACAACCTTCCCAAAGACACTGCCCTGGATAGACATCTTTTCCTCCATGTTCAGTTGCTGCATGGTAGAAAACCTGTGAGGGTGTCTGAAACCACCTACGAAAAATACAAGCAGTAGAATGATCTGAAACATGAAAAGAAGTATTCTTTAAAATAGGAAACATGCCCTCTTCAGCACAAACTCCAGACCAATATACAGAGATAATAAGCAAAACAGGGCAAATCTCTAGTTGACCTCATTTGAAATTAAGGATATTTAAAAAATTTCTCTACTTATTTATGTAAGTTTAATCGTTTAGTTGTACTGAACACTTTTGGTAATTCATTTCAAGTTTAATAAATTCCTTAATTTCAGAGAGGTTTGGTTAAGAATCTCTTGAGAGTAAATGAAACCCCATATTAAAGCACAGCAGAACATTTTCATATAAACAAATATCATATCCTACTGTATTTTCAGAAGTTGTTCAACCATTCAACAGATTCCTCATGACGTATAATAAATCCTACCAGATGCCATCTAACAATGGAGATGTGATACGTTTTGGTTGTTGTTGTTAGCTTCTATCAAGCTGGTCCTGACCCATGGTGACCCCATGCACAACAGAATGGAGTAAAACGCTCTGTGGTCCAGTGCCATTCCCTTGACCAGTTAGTTGCAGATGGAACCACTAAGATCCATAAAGTTTTTACTGGCTGATTTTCAGAAGGAGACTGCTAGGTCTTTCTTGCTATTCCATCTGAGTATGGAAACTCCATTAAAACTAACTCAGCATCATAACACCATCTAAGCCTTCTTCATCTGAACCCAGCTCTCCCACATGGAAGGCAAGAATTCCATTGAACAGCCACTATTCCCATACATTTTGGTAAAAAAAAAACAAAAACAAAAACAAAAAAACCTCACTGCTGTCAAGTCATTTCTGACTCATAGTGACCCCTGCTTGGGTTTTTGAGGCAGTATTTCTATGGAAGTAGATTGCCCAACCTTCCTCCTGAGGAGTGGCTGGTGAGTTTGAACCACCAGCCTTCTGGTTAGCAGTCAAATGCCTTACACACTATGCCACCAGAGCTAGCCTGACCTTTCAGTTGAGTTTACATTTTGTATGTCTAAGTTTAAGAAGTCATGTCTCTCAATTTGCTACATCACACTCTACTTGCTATCAGTGCTTAACAACACAAATGTTTGATTAAGTGGCAAAAGACACAAAAGTGAAGAAATGTCAGGAAGTATTCTGCCTCATTCATCAGGATACATGGCATTGAGAGAGAACACTGCATTCTAGATAGCAAAGAAGATATTAAAAATTCCTTAGTAGTTCAAACATTTGTACAACTTTGAATCTTTGTATGACTGTCATATAAACATATGTATATTTGAAACAATTTTTAATGTGTAGTATACACTCAGTAAGGAGCACTGGTGGCACAGTGGTTAGAGTGCTTGGCTGCTAACAAAAACGTTAAAAACAAACACACACCAAGCTTTCTGACAGTAAGTCCATTTTGACTCATAGTGACCCCACTGGTTTCTGAGGCAGTAAATCTTTATGGAAGTAGATTCCCTATCTTCCTTTCACAGAGTGGCTAATGGGTTTGAACCACTAACTTCTGGTTAGCAGTCAAATGCCTTAGGCACTGCATCACCAGAGTTCCTTAACCAAAAGGTAGGAGGTTCAAACCCACCAGATGCTCCATGGAAGAAAGATGTGGCAGTCTGCTTCCATAAAGATTTACAACCTTGGAAACCCTATTGAGCAGTTCTATTCTGTTCTATAGGTTTATTGTAAGTTGGAATTTACACGATGGCAGGAGGTTAGTTTGGGTTTATATATCCAATACATCAAACTAATATTCCTAATGGAAATAACTGACATTTAAAATATTTTTAATAAAAAAGTAATTAAATATTGAATTACAAAAGACAATGTCTATAATCATGGATTATGCATTTCATTTCCATTCATGTTCATTTATATGCTTGCCGAAAAGTTTACTGCAAAACTAAAATCAGTGAACAAATCTTTAGTGTTGGAATTTCTTATAATTTTCACTATTCATAATGCTAGCTTTAAGAAGAAATAAAAATATGATTAGAGCTCTGTAATACAGACTAGTAATTGTTTATATGTATAAGGAAGAATTTCCTGGTGCGCTTTTAAGACTTTATCAAAATACTATTAAATCATTAATGAAATATTTAGCCTCTACTCAATGACAATGCATAAACCAAAATCCAAATGTACTACTTTATGCCAGTAGTCAAAATGATTTCTATTTCTAAACTATTCCGTAATACATAAAAAGAATTAAGTTTATTTCTAATACGTAAAATGGATGATTTACCAGCTACAGGGGGGAAAAAGATGACGTTAGTATTTCTTTAAATCAATTTTAATTACTAAATACACACTACTGTGTGTGTGTTTGTGTGATGACAGAAAGTTATAAGGGCTCATCATCCTACCTGTGTATAGGCAAATTACCCAACACAGAATCTAGTACTTTCTCCTTTATCCCAGATCCATTTTCCTTCTACGCAACTATTCAGGCCATAAAAGCCATTCATTGATTGTGATTGTTCAAAATTAAGTTCTAAATAAGCTATGAATGAAGCTATTTTGTAATGATCATATCAGGGTAGAAAGTACTTGTTGTTAGGTACCATCAAGTAGTCTCTGACTCATAGCAACCCTATGAACAGCAGAATGATATACCGCCCAGCTCCACAATCCTTGCTATATTTGAGCACATTGCCCCAGCCACTTTGTCAATCCATCTTGTTCAGGGCCTTCCTCTCTTTCATAGACCCTCCACCTTACCAAGCATGACATCCTTCTCCAGGGAATGGTCCC